GATTACTTACCTTCTCTGAGGCTCAGTTTCCTCATCTATAAAATGGGAGTATATATTTATAGGGCTGAGATTAAATATATGAATATATGTATTTTTGTTACTAGATGTAAAATACCTGACATATAATTAGGCTTAGGAAAAGATAGTTAATAGGAATCACCAAGCAAAAGGCATGAGCATTTCGTGGAAAGAATGCTTCACCTTTTTAGTAATCAAGGAAATGCAAAGTCCACAATGGTACTACCATTTTGTACCCAGTTGACTGGCAAGAGATACACCAAGGTTGGTCTCTACGTTCAAGGTATAATTGGAAAAATACATGCAGTGGGCTGATGGCATGGCTATCATTTATTTGATATGTTCAGTTCACTCAGAGCCTTCTATGTTACATGTGCCTTATATCAAAGGAAAATAAAAACTGAATAAAACTGAATGCCTAGCCTCAAAAGATATTATAGTCTAGGAGTGGGGAAAAGACATTGTATAATAATTATAATAAAAGATAGCTTGGGATAAATGAAATGAGAGGCATAATTTGTTACAGGAATTCAGAAGAGAGAGACAGCAAAGTCAGCTGAAGGGGATCGGTCAAAGGTTCATGAAAGATAGCATATTTAAGGAAACCATGAAATATGACAGGAGAGATCAACAGGGAGAACTTTCCCAGTTGAAGTAATGATGTGAAGTAAGGAACAAAGTAGTGGAAAACTCAGGACATTGGCGGGAACAGAGAATATAATTCGGCTTATTTAGAACACACATTACATACACAGGAGAGCTGAGAGTTATTTGGAAAGGACAGACAGCAAGCAGTTATGAATACCTAGGCTAAGGAGTTTGGACTTTAATCGAAGATTTAAAAAAAGGTGTGTGTCAATGAGAGAGAGAGAGAGAGTGAGTGAGCGAGAACAAAAACATACATAGAGAGACAGAGAGAGAGACAGAGAGAGAGAGATATCACAGATAGATGCAAGCCATTTCCAGAGCTGTGATAAGACTGATATGGTTGATTAGTTCCATTCACATAGTGACTAGTATGAGCCAGGCATGGGAATAGATGCTGGAAACTCTGGGCAAGCAATCATAGGACATAAACAGTTTACTTTCTTCTCTACTAGACATTTTTGGGAAGCTAAGAAAGCTTAAATAACATTCTTGTACTTTCATTTTCCCACACATAAATTGGTCCATGACCACTGATTTAACAACAGAAAGAAAATGTCTATGTTTAATAGCAGCCATATGAAAATATGAGAAGCAACTCTCAGCTTTCTTCTGATATAAGAAAACAGAAAAAGTTTCTAACATATCTCAGGTATTTTAAATATTTATTATTTCAAGGGAGTGCCAGGTTGGATCTGTGGTGGTATCACATATGTAATAATTAGTGTAATATGTAATAATAAGTGATGATAAATCCTTTATACTTCCTAAAGAGACACTATGGATTTCCAAGATACTTGAAATAGCATTGACAATAAAAATTAGTTCTAGATACTAATATTTGATAAATGAGCCTTGGTTGATAAAGAATAGACCCATACTACCCAAAGCAATCTACAGATTCAATGCAATCCCTATGAAAATATCAGTGACATTCTTCATAAAAATAGAAAAAATAATCTGAAAATTCATATGGAACCACAGAAGCCCCCAAATAGCAATGTAATCCTTAGCAAAAAGAACAAAGCTGGAGACATTGCACTGATTGACTTCAAAATATACTACAAAGCTATAGTAACCCAAACAGCATGTTACTGGCATAAAAACAGACACATAGATCAATGGAATGAACAGAGCACTCAGAAATGAATCCGTGCATTTATAGCCAAATGAATTTCAACAAAGGTATCAAAAGCATACACTGGGGGAATGGACAGTCTCTTCAATAAATGGTGATAAGAGAAATGGATATGTAGATGTATGATATTAGACTCCCTATCTCCATATACAAAAATCAACTCAAAAGGAATTAAAGACTTAAAGCAAGGACCTGAAACTAAAACTAGTGGAAGAAAATATAGGGGAAACAGTTCAGGACACTGGTCTGGGAAAAGATTTTTTGGGTAATACCTCAAAAGCACAGGCAATAAAAGCAAAAATAGACAAATGAAATTATATCAAACTAAAAAGCTCTTGCACAGCAAAGGAAACAATCAGTAGAGAACCTACAAAATGGGAGAAAATGTCTGTGAACTGTTTATACAACAAGTGATTAATACCCAGAATATATAAGGAACTCAAACAACAACAGCAATAAAACAAATTATTCAATTTAAAAATGGGCAAATAAGCACAATTCACAATTGCAAAGATGTGGAAATAACCTAAGTGCCCATCAATACATGAGTGGATTAATAAAATGTGGTGTATGTATTCCATGGAATACTACTCAACTATTAAAAACAGTGGTGATCTAGCACCTCTTATATTATCCAGAATAGAGCTTGAGCCTGAGATGTGAGGTATCACAAGAATAGAGAAACAACCACCACATGTACTTGACATCAAATTGGTACTAACAACACTAAAAGTGCTCATGTGGTAGTACTCGTGTTTCCCCAAAAATAAGACAGGGTCTTATATTTATTTTTCCTCAAGAAGACACCCTAGAGCTTATTTTCAGGGGGTGTGTTATTTTCCCTTCAAAGCTTCAGCTTGCAGCACGCACAGGATGGCCTGGACCCGAAAGGGTGAGCCGACCTTGTTGGTGGGGCTGCCTGCACCTTCTGGTCACCTCTGGGATAGTAGCTGTCATGGTGGGGCAGATGAGAAGGGCTGCTCGTTTTCTTTACCACTCTACGATGAAATGCATGGGTTGTGCAGATAGGCTGCGTAGCCACACCCATCAGTAGGTCTTATTTTGGGGGTAGGGCTTATATTGCGCAAATGCTTAGAAATCCTGCTAGGGCTTATTTTATGGGTAGGTCTTATTTTCGGGAAACACAGTAATATCCATTGGGCAATGATCAGGTGTGGGGGAGGTAAACTCACAACTAATGGAGACAGAGTGCACTGTATGGGGAAGGGTACGCTTCTAGCCCTGGCTTGGGCGAGGCAAAGGCATTACCTGTAGCCAAAATGTTTGTACCCCCATAATATTCTGAAATTAAAAAAAAAATGAGCAAATGATCTGAATAGATATTTCTCAAAAAAAGACATATAAATGGTTAACAGGTACATGAAAAAATCCTCAACATCACTAATCATCAGGGGAAATGCATATCAAAACCACAATGAGATGCCATCTGACTCCAGTTAAAATAGCTATAATCAAAAAGACTAAATAAGAAATGCTGGTAAGGATGTGAAGAAAGGGGAACTCCTATATGCTGTTGGTGGGAATGTAAATTATTACAGCCATTGTGGAAAACAGTATGGAAGTTTCTCAAAAAACTAAAAATAGAAATACCATATGATCCAGAAATCCCACTAGTGGGTATGTATCCAAAGGAAAGGAAATCAGTATGTCGAAGAGATATTTACACTCCCATGTTTATTGCAGCATTATTCACAACAGCCAAGATATGTTATCAACCTTAGTGTCCATCAACAAATGAATGGATAAACAAAACATGGTATAGATACACAATGGAATACTACACAGCCACAAAAAGAATGAAATCCTGCTATCTCTGTTGCAACATGGATGGAACTAGAGGTCATTATGTTAAGTGAAAGACAAATATCACATGTTCTCACTTATGTGGTAGCTAAAAAAAGGTGAACACATAGGAACTGATCCCATAGAGGTAGAGAGTAGAATAGTGGTTACCAGAGGCTGGGAAGGATTGGAGGGCGGAAGTGATAGGGAGAGATTAGTTAATGCATTCAAAATTATAGTTAGATAGGAAGAATAAGATTTAGTATTCAAAAGCACAATATAGTGACTATAATTAACAATAATTGTTGGTATATTTCAAAATAGCTAGAAGAAAGGATTTTGAATGTTCCTAACACAAATAAATGATAAATGTGTGAGGTTATGGATATGTCAATTACCCTGATTTGGACATTATAAACATATACATTACACATGTATACATGTATCAAAATATCACATTTATCACATAAATGTGTACATTATGTACTAATTAAAAAAAAGACCAAGAGTATAAAGTGATCAGGTATCTAATTTTCACCACTTTTCCATGAAGTAAATAACAACAAAACACCTATCCTTTCAACATACTTAGAAATAGTTCAGAGTTTAGTTTGATTAGTTTATCAGTTCTCTAAGAATTCAAAAAAATAAAAAGTATGAGACATTCCTCATCCAACTATTAAATTAATTACATAGCACATAAAAAGCCCAGCCAACATAGCTGAAAAAGTTATTCTACAGCTAACCACTCTTCTCCTTTGCCATCTTATCCCATACCTTACTGGAGTATATTTTTCTGAATTTAATGGTTTATATGACTCTCTTAACAGCTTATGAGCTCCATGAGGGCAGAACCCATGTCATATCTACTTCTCTATCTTTAGCACCAAGAATACTACCCAATATATAACTAGCACACATGTGCATGAGCACATAAAGGATAAATGAGGTCTGGGTACAGTGGCTCATGCTGGTAATCCTAGCATTCTGGGAGTCTGAGGCGGAGGATCGCTTGAGGTCAGGAATTTGAGAACAGCCTAAGCAAGAGTGAGACCCTGTCTCTACTTAAGATAAAAAAAGTTAGCTGGGCGACTAAAAATAGAAAAAAATTAGCTGGGTGTGGTGGTGCATGCCTGTAGTCCCAGCTACTTGGGAGGCTGAGGCAGGAGGATCCCTTTAGCCCAGGAGTTTGAGGTTGCTGTGAGCTAGGCTGATACCATGGCACTCTTTCCAGGGCAAGAGAGTAAAACTGTCTCAAAAAAAAAAAAAAGGATAAATGAGTACTTAAAAAGAACTGGCCTTAGAAAGAATATGAGAGAAAAGAGAACCACTTTGACAACTAAAACTTTATTAGTTGTTTTACCTCATGAAAATTTATTTGAAGAGGACTTCTTACCTGGCGTGTCATTACAAAATATGCATACATTGCCATGGCACTTCCGTAAGTGATGAAGTAGGTGACTGGCTCCATGATGTCCCAGGAATATTCCCACCAGGTAAGCCGAGCCAAAATGCCAAACTGTGTGGCCATGTAGGCAAGGCCACCCCATAGCACCAAAGTGGTCCTCTTCTCGGCTTTTCTGCTAATCTCAATTCGTACCTATTAGGCACACAAGATTAATTGTAAGGCATTTTGACATAGAAACAATTTAAAACTCTTAAATTATTCTGTGTTCACTAAAGAAGCAGGGCTCATAATCAAGACAAAAGTCTCAATTCTAGTAAATATAGTTGTCTTCCTAAGTATTATAGCATCTAATCTGTAATTTTGACTGGATAAAATATCTAGAAGAATAACTATTTTTTAGGGTGTTTATTTTATGTTTCACCCTAGAAGTGGCTGAAAATATGGTGAAAACATGGGAGTGAATAACTTAGTTTCAACAGCTTTTCATCTAACCATAAGATTACCTTCTTTGAAAGAAGGAAATGACATATCAAATGACATACCAATATTTTCTCACTGTTGTGTACAAGATTTAATCTATTATTAGTTTTTAACTCAAATGGTATACTAGAGGCAGAACATGAACTCTGGATTCAGAAGAGCTGAGTTCAGGGCCCTAATCTGCAAATCACCATTAACTTCATTACAGAGTTGTTCTGAGGATTAAATAAGAGAATATAAGTAAACACTTAGCACAATTCATAGCCCATAGTAAATACTTGATAAATGATAACTATTTTTATAAAATCAGAAAATGCACAATACTGAGAGTATTTGTTCCTCTCTTTAATCCTTACAATCTATTTCTTAAAATGGAAACAACTACAGCACCATAAAAAAGGTGACAAATGTCCATTGTAGACATTCAGAAAAGTGTAAAGAAGAAAAATCATAATCCTACTACTCTATTAGAATTTTGGAATATATTACTTCTAATTTTTTTGTGTATGTATATATATATATAGCTTTATGCATAACACATTTAAAAATTGGATCACTGTATTTTATATATGTACAATGTATATACAATGTATAAAATTATATGCACAATCTTATAATTTACTTTTCAAAATACATATTTTCTATAGCAAATTAGATCTACATAATCATTTTTAATAGCTGTAAAATATTCCATGGACAGTCATCCCTCAGTATCTGTGGGGTATTGGTTCTAAGACCCTCACAGATATCAAAATCTGTGGATGCTCAAGTCCCCTATATAAAATGGTATAGTATTTGCATATACCTATGCATATCCTCTCATATAATTTAAATCATCTCTAGATTACATATAATACAATGTAAATGCTATGTAAATAGTTGTTATATTATATCGGTTTTTAAATTTGTATTATTTTTTATTGTTGTATTTTTTTTTTTTTTTTTTTTTTCCCAAATGTTTTTCATCCCAGGTGTTGAATATGTGGTTGTGGAACCCATGGATATAGAGGGCTGAACTCACATTCATCCTTACCTTGGCTAAAATCATTACCTACTATACTTAAGAACCTTTCCTGATCAGCAATTATTCTAATCGTTATTTTAAAGGTGGTAAATCTGGTTAAGGGAATATATTTATTTATTTATTTTCGAAAGACACAGGTTTATTATTAGGCATTTGGCAATGCATAAAAATTAATCTCATTATTGCTTTCATCCCCCAATGGAAACAGTATTATCATTAGTTTTTCCTTCCCAGGGCAATATATTTAAACCTCAAAGCTCTAAACTATTCCTTGTAAAGTCCTTTCTTAGCTTTGATTGGAACTTCAGGTACAGTTCCATAAACTAGTGGACTAATTTGATTGACATGACTCAGTTGCATAACACTTAGAAGAAAAAACACAAACATGTATGCTCTGGAAAAAATATAGGTGATGAGAAAAATCTGAGATTTGAATTTTCACCTTTTCCAGGGGAGCCAGTTGTTCTTTGAGATCCTCTAATCTTTCAATAAGTTCCCTTTCCTTGTTTAACTGGTGCTGCTCAATGCACAGTGTGGTGTACAGCTGCTGGACCAGTGTCTTTACGTCATTCAGCGTTGCTGCATTTTCGTGGCTTAAGAGGTCTGAAAAAAAGGGGTTACGTTTTTTTAAAAAAGTATGCCTTAAATGAAGACTTGCTATTCCTGAGATTATTAGACAATAAGAACAAGGCAGATTCTTCCACTATCCGTATCCTACCTCCAGTGTTAAGCTGAGAGAAAGTGATAGTTTTAAAAAAGGAAGTGTTCACAAATCTAGAACATAAATTCATACTTGGGTAGCTGGAAAATTTTGAAACCCATATTCACCACTATATTCCTGGAAATCTAAATGCTATAAATGAGGCTATGATCAAGGTAAATACTAAGAAAAAGAATACAAATAATAATAATCTTCATCAGACAAAGACAAAAAATTTAACCAAATGTTAATAACTAGTAGGGAGGTTTAGAATCAATTTGATTATCTTGTTAATTAAAATGCTGATCTATAATTTATCTGTGGTCCTGCCATTTTATTAATAATTGATTTTTTTATCTTTATAAACTCCTGAGGGAAAAATATGCAGTTATTTCAAACTTGCAAACACAAAGGTATAAATAAAAATACCATCACCTTAATAATCTTAACTCTCATACTTATTGACCCTAGCATACCAACTTTTTTTATTCATTCCTGTTGAGGAAAGACAGAAAATAACTATGAAGGCCTCCAAATCATGCTTTACAGGGTATAAAGTTATGAGAATGATTGAAAAGGTAAAAGATTAAATTCTTTGATTCAATATCCTATACTGTGAGTACCATGTATTTCCAGAAATCTAAAAATTATGTTTTCAGACTCTAATAAAAATTCTGCTGATCTCAGCTGTCTAAGAATTTTTTTAAAAAAGCACCACAAGTAAAGCTTTTGTTTTAGAATCTTACTTGCTTTAAACGTGACACTTTGTTACATATAGCATAAGGCCAGACCTCTTCTAAATCAAAATGAGCCATAGTTAGAATTAATCAAATATTTCAAATATTCTTCAAGGATGTCCTTTAGTATAGTTATCACAGAAACTCAATTAATGAAAAAAATCAAAGGGAAGCAAATTGGATTAGAGAAGAACACATACACTAAAATGGGATATAGCACCTAGCACAGTATTTTGCATGCTTTAGTAAATGTGTGTGGGATTAATGGAAACAGATAAAAGCAAGAGCACTTTGAGTTCCAGAAGTTATCTATGTCAACTGTGTCATACCAAAGTTGCAGCTCACGTGTGTGCACAAAGCTTTAAACTTTCCAAAGTTACCAAAGAGGAAACTGCACTCTAGAAGGCTGAAGTAACTTGTCCAAAATGTCAGAGTAAGGGATAGAGTTCCTGTCTCCTGTTCTCCAGGCCTGAAGCTACATTATAATGCTATACTAATATTAATATTTCTCCTACAGGCTCAGTCCTCTTTCAAAAAGATAATTCCTTAAGTATGTATAAATTACCTAAGGTTAACAAAGCCCTCTCATATATATTAATATTATCCCATGTTATTCTCAAGATGACAGCATGAGGAAGCTTGGTGCCCACAATTTATAAACAAGGAATTTGAGTCCCAGAGAGATAAGATTGACAAACATTTCTGTACTAGGTACTGATGTAGCCACTATAAAAGGAAAAAAAAAAAAATCAAATAATAGATAATTCCTCTCCCTAATGAGGTCTAGTAATGATATTCACAAAGTCACAGAGCTAGTAAGGAGCAGAAAAGGGTCTCGCTGGTGGTGCAATGACTTTTCTGTTCTGTGCCCTTTCTTTTTCCATTTCAACATTCAATATTGTGATTATACTGCATTTGCTTAGAAATCCAAGGAAGTAGGGAAGGAAAGGAGGGAAGGAAGAAAGGAAGGGAGAAATCAGTCTGAACAGAAACTCTCTTCTTTTCCTAATGAAGCATGGGCATGTTCAAAATGACCAAATATGAGTAGACTACTACAACCTGAGGATCTATATAATTTGAAATCAGGTTTGGTGATTGTTTTACCAAAAAAAGTAAGTTTCTATTAGAACATCATTCGCTAGAGATATCTGTTTAAAAATTAACATTCATATAGTGGGTTCTGCTGTATATTACTAGAAAATTCGCTTTTATATCAATCCTTTCTTTTATGGATTTTGGGTTTTATGTCATAGTTAGAAATGTCTTTCTCACTCCAAGGTTATAAGAATACTTTTCTATTGATTCTTTCAGTATTTTAATATTTTTTTCTTTTTTAATATTTAAGTTTTTGATCCACATAGCCTTTGACACAGCACTTCTAGGTATCTTCCCTACATATACACACATATACTTCCTAAGTGACATGCATTCAAAATTATTTGATGCTGCACATAGACTATCGCAAAAGATGAAAACAATACAAAAGCCCATCAATAAATCTAAAAAATAAGCACTTAAGTGAATAGTGATATACAGCACATTGTATAATGTACAATATAAAAGTTGTATAAAATAATGAGGAATTCTTTACTAGTTCTTTACTAGTATTCTTTACTAGTATGCTAATATCTTCACAATATACTATTAGGTGAAAAAAAGTTTGTTTAATGGTTTTATACCTTGTCAATCTACTAAACTGAAGTTATATTTCCCAGAATATTTTTCCCTGTATTGTTCTGAATTATAGTTAGATGAAAGAAAAATTCAAAATCAGATTTTGGAAGGTGGAAAGTGAAGCAGAAGGCTTTATGCTCTGAAGGTGATTGTGGTTAATAGTGACACAGATGGACAGGCATGGTGGCTCACATCTGTAATCCTACTACTCTGGGAGGCTGAGGCGGGAGGATTGCTTGAGCTCAGGAGTTTGAGACTAGCCTGTAAAACAGTGAGATCTCCACTTCTACTAAAAATTGAAAAATTAGCTGGGCATTGTGGCATGGACTTGTAATCCCAGCTACTTGGGAGGCTGAGTCAAGAGGATGACCTGAACCCAGGAGTTTGAGGTTGCAGGGAGCTATGATGATGCCACTGCACTCTACCCCAGGGAGACACAGCAAGACCCTGTCTTCAAAAAAAAAAAAAAAGAAGAAGAAGAAAAGAAAAAAGAAAAACAAAATAGTGACACAGATGCAGAGGTGCCTGCTCTCCTCTGCTCTGAGTATGGCTCTTTTTCTCAGCAGCTACTTCCATTGATTAACGGCAAATCTAGGCCCACAACAGGATGCAGCCTTCTAAAGCTGTATTGTCCAGTATGGTAGCCACTGGCCACATGTTGCTATTTATTTATCTTTAACTAACTTGCTAATTCTTTTAAATTGACAAATAAAAATTGTACATATTATGTACAACACGTTGTTTTCAAATATGTATGTACTGTGGAATGCATAAATCAAGCTAATTAACATATGCCTTCCCTCACTTATATTTTTGTGGTGAAAACACTTAAAATCTACTCTCTCAGCAATTTTCAAGAACATATTCAATACACTGTTATTGGCTATAGTCACCATGTCGTCCAATCGATCTCTTGAACTTATTCTTCCTATCTAACTGAAATTTTGTATCCTTTGACCAACATTTCTGCAACTCCCCCCACATAGTGCTATAATAATTTAAGTTAATTAAAATTAAATGCACTATATGGGGGAGGGACATGCTTATAGCCCTGGCTTAGGTGGGGCAAACAACATTACATGCAACAAAAATGTTTATACCCCCATAAGATCCTGAATAAATAAATTTAAAAAAATATTCAAGTCTTTTAGTCATTTCAAGTGCTCAATAGCCACAGGTGATTAATGGTTACCATGTTGGCTAGTGCAGAAATAAAAAATTTTCCACATCACAGAAAGTTCTATTTGACACCACTGTTCTCAGATTTCTCTGCCAATCCTCAATCACAGTCCTCCCCTAACAATTTGATGTTCCTGTATTTCTAGGCTCCCTGGAAAGCTTTGATTTGTCCACCTGTGCCACTGCTTCAAAATTAGTGAACCTCCAAGCTTTCTTTATTCCATAATATTCATATGGTTCTGTTTTCCCAAATGAACCCTGATTGATACAAATAGTATGTATGCTATGCTATTTGAACAAAAAGAAAAAAATATGCATTCATATTTACTTATGAATGTGTAGACTATCCTGGTAGGGGACAGTGCTTGCCGATGCAGAGGAGAAAAGGATAGCTGGGGAATAGGGACGAGGAGACTACTTTTCCCCACACATTCTTTTAGACTTTGGGAGTTAAACCTTGTGAATGTATTACCCAGTCTAAACAAATAAAAAAAAAAAATTTACAACTACAATACCTCATAACAGCAATGAAAAGACTATAAAATGATAAATCACAGGAGACCTCACAGATGTCCAATTCTAGACCTGGCTGAACGTACAGTTGTTATTTTTCTAATTACACATCAGAAAAGCCCTGGCAAACTCAAGAGACTAAGATTTATGTTGTCAGGTTTTCTTACAGGAAAAATATGGTTCCAAGGTATTATCATGGTCAAGGAAAACAATAATCCTAAAGCTTTGACCCTGAAAAATCTGCCCACATGTTTGGAGATGAAGTTATAGGAGGTGGGAAAATAAATCTGCTAAGGGCTTAACGACACCACTTTGGGATGATTAGCGTATGCGTCACTAAAAATGCAAGTTGATGTTTATTAATGTTTCTGCACATGCCATCATTTTCAAGATAATTAAGGTACAGACAGGCAGGGGAGATGTGTTAACACAATATGTACTGAAAATTCTTTTCAACTACAAAAATAGTTTGGAAAGGATTTGGGCTATGTGGGTCTCTAATAAGGCATCATTATTGTGGGTGTTTGCTTTGGTAGTTCAATCTCTCCTCTCAAATAATTTACATCACTAAGAGAGAAGCAAGGTATCCAATATTCTTTGGATGGATAAATGGGGAAAAGGGCTTAGTGGTGCCAATCAAAATGATTCTCCTTGGTACAAAAACTTATAACCACCAGTGAAATAGGGCATATTCCCTTCCTCTCCAAGACAGAAAAAGGCAGTTAATTACTACTCCGACATAAAAGGCTTGTGTTCTTTTCCATATTCTTCCTCCTATTCTGCATTTAAATTATAAAATCACCTAATTGTGAAAATAGTTACACCTTTCATTCTGCAGTGGTCAGAAAGGAACCTGGCTATAAACAGCTATGGTAACCAAAAGAATTTGATGGAGCTTGCAACTAGCCTTACCATTACGACATGTCCCCTTGTTCCATTTCAGTTTTTCCTATCCATCCGACTTTGAGTTTAGGTGCAAAGGTTGTCAACAATTAAGGATCCACAATACCTATGGACTGCTAATTCCACATAAACATGAAAAGTGGCTATATTGGATTCTAACTGAATGAGCCCTCTATTCGCAGTGTCTGATGAAACTATGTGAAAATTAGAGTTTGTTGGTGCACAATATTCACAGAACATTTTAAAGTTCCAAAGTGCTATCCATAGACAGAGAAAAGAATAAGTGGATAAAGAAATGAAAATTAAAGGGGATGAGGAATAGAAAAAATTTGTGTCAAAAATTAAAAACTGTCCTAAAAAAGTTTTCCTTCACGAACTATTTTAACTCGTATTAGATAAAGCAGATTTGTTCCATCTGCCCCACATATATATAAAAGCCTGGTGTTATTCCTTATCATCTAACACTTCCAACGTAGTGCCTTCTACTTCTTTCCTCCATTTAGTCTTTTCTCTAAAGAGTTACAATGTAGTGCAGAGAACATGCTTATTCATCTAGATGAAAACAGAAATTAAATACAGAAATTCAAACTGCTCTCTGACTCTAGTCAGTTGAAAAAGTGGTGCTGCCTTGCATGCCAGCAATACCTTCCTCCCTCAAGGAGAGGATGATAATAAGGTGAAAACAAAATTTGAAACTATTTTGCAGGTGCCAGTGGTGGTGGACTAGGTTAGGTAATTCCCAGTCCCGAGGCCTCTGGATGCCATGCTTGAGTCCTGGGGGGACCAGACCAAGACTGAGCTGAGTTTAGGTGCTAGCTGTGATAGAGAGGGGCAGGGTGATCTCCTGGTCTGGAAGAATGCTCAGGCAAGAGATGGGCAGATGCACTGTGAGCCTGCCACAGGATGGGCAGGCCTCTCTTGGTGAGATTAGTAGAGGCAGGCAGCTAGCTGTGGAGCACACAAGCCACTCACATTTCCCTATGTTGGCAGTGACTGTGTTCTCTTTCAGGGGCACAAAAGTGCCCAGATTTCCAGCTCCCACCCTGGCCCAGCTGCAGCAGTGGTGGTGGAGGCAGCTCAACCCACTGTGTACTGGGCTACTAGAATGGCTGTGGGCTGTGGCTGAAATGCTCAGGTGAGGGGGTAGTAGTGGCAGTTATGTCACAGATTTGCATCCAGGTAGGACAGGCTTTTCCCAACAGAGGCAGGCAACTGAAGGCAAGGACTGCTCACCCTTCCCTCCCTCAGTGGAGATGGTAGTTTTTGTTCTTGGGGTACTCAAGAGCGTCCCAATTCCCAGCTTCCTTCCTGGCCCAGCTGCAGCAGAGGTGATGGATAAAGCTCAAACCATTGTGTGCTGGGGTCCCAGAATGCCAAATGCCTGGAGCCTGCCACTGAAACGCTATGGTGGGGTAGGGGTAGTTGTACCAGGGACTTGCCTCCAGGGAGGGTAAGCTCCTCTCAGCAGAAGCAGGCAGCTTGGGAAGAGAACTGCTAACTTTGCCCTACCTCAGCAGAAGTGATAGTTTGTGTCCTTGGGGCACCCAACAGTGTCAGAATTCCCAGCTACCTTTCTGGCCTCCCTATGGCAGAGAAAGCCCTAACCTTTGTATGCTGGGCTCCCAGAATGCCTGGGGGCTGTGGCTGAAATGCTCCAGCAGGGGAGGTGTAGTTGTGCCAGGGACTTGACTCCACGGAGGTATGCTCCTCCCAGAAGAGTCAGGTAGCTCTGGGAGAGGACTGTATTTAATTTTGTATAAATTTGTTTTGTATTTAAATAAATACACAAACACTAAGGTTTATGGTATTGCACTAAATATGATGGGAGATATGCAATGATCACGAGAGATCACACTGCAATATGCAATTTACTGGAGAGAAGAACTGCTTATGCAGAGATGATAAGCATCACATGGCATTTTAAGTGGATACTTGCGACTCTTGACTCACCACAATAGCAACAGGAGGCAGCTATGAAATTATTACAGTAGCATACTAAGTACTACAGTTAATTTCATGCAGTTATGATTTAACATTGCATCTTTACATTTCTTTACGTTTGTTTACATTTCTTCCTGTGAATGGCACTATGTACAGTCTACAAGTGTATGGGTAAGTTTTGATAAATTTTAACTTTTTATAATAGATTTGTATATATTTTATGGTAGTAAATGATAAAAGACTAATATCTACATGTATTTTATGCATTCATAACATGTCTAACTTATTAACTTTTTTTTGCCATTTCTAAGCTATGCGGTTTGTCTTTGAGTTTTTTCAAATTGTCACAAATCTCTAAAACATTTTCCAATTTCTTGAAAAAAATCTGTGTATAAGCGGATCCATGCAATTCAAACTCCTGTTGTTCAAATGTCAAACGTATTTTAAGAATATTTTTCTATTCTTACTATTTGAAGGATACTTTTCTGTATCTTTTTCTACACTTTTGCCCAGCTAGCTACTTCTCAATAACCTATTGGCCTCTGAACAACCAAATGCTATCCAGTTAACTCATTTAATTAACTCAATAGAGAATGAATCAATGGGGAATACAAAATAACAGTGCACTCCCCCAGAGCATTTACAAAGAAAAGGAATAAGCAGAATTCAGAGAAGAGATTAATCACTTCCGGTGGTTGAGAGTCAGAGAAAGAAGAAGAGGATCATTAAAGGCTTCATGGAAGAGCTGACACTGACGATTTTGACATGAGGAAATACAAGGTAAGAAGAAAGGAGAAAGACATCTTAGGGAGGGAAAGGTGAACAAATACTGAGATGGCAAAGAATGAGGCATAGTTCAGGAAATCACAAAGGAATACACAGTGAAGAAAAAGTAAGTTACATGCAGGAGGAAAAGAGAAAATTTTAAAAGGTAGATGTGGACCAGATTATGGAGGCATTTAATACATAGGCCTTCGCTCAGAACTTTTTCTATGTTAGACCCAATTTTTAAAAGTTAAAACTTTTTTTATGTTAGACCCAAGATTGAAAAGAAGGAATGTCGTACGAGGCTGGTAGAGGGAGGGATCATAGTGGAAGGAACATTAACAATAGCAGTAACAATGAATATCAAGAACAAAGAGAGAAATGTGGCCAAAAGAGAGATACTCAAAATGCTATTTTAGAGGGCTATTTAGCATTGTACCACGCAGAGCCATACTGGAGCTTGGGATGAAATGAAAAATTAGTAATACTGACTCTGTCTTTATTTTAAATTTTGATATTTTGTTCATTAGGGATTTTTTTGCATTACCTTTGTTTTTTAATAATAGTGCATTAAAACAATATTTATCTGGCCAGACGTAGTGGCTCATGCCTGTAATCCTAGCACTCTGGGAGGCCAAGGTGGGAGGATCACTCAAGGTCAGGAGTTCGAAACCAGCCTGAGCAAGAGTGAGACCCAGTCTCTACTAAAAAAAATAGAAAAAAATTAATTGGCCAACTAAAAAATATATAGAAAAAAATTAGCTGGGCATGGTGGTGCATGGCTGTAGTCCCAGCTACTTTGGAGGCTGAGGCAGAAGGATTGCTTGAGCCCAGGAGTTTGAGGTTGCGGTGAGCTAAGCTGATGCTGTGGTATCTAGCCTGGGCAACAGAATGAGACTGTCTCAAAAAAAACAAAAACAAAAAAACAACAACAACAATATTTATCTTGACTGAATTTTTTGGCATGTTCTTAAAATACGCACCTGGTGAGCACCTCACTTTGCAGACAAAAGCATATATGTCAGAAGTTCCTAAAGATTATTATTGTACAATAATTGATTTTCAGACTGCTGACCTCGAATCACCAGGGAAAAAAGGGGGATTAATACCTGTCACAATGTTTAAAAGAACAGGGAATCTCATAGTTTATTTTAAAATGATTTGTCCTTGTAATGTTATTAAAATAATATGACTTTTAGCCTATATGGAGGGAAAGAGCTTAAGTTATGTAGGACTGCAGTCCCCCATCCCTAGGCGGCAGCTAGTACCGGTCCATGGCCTGTTAAGAACCAGGTGCATATCACCACTTGACCTCCAACTCTCCCACCCCCCAGACCCCCAACGCCATCTGTGGAAAAACTGTCTTCCATGAAACATAGGAACCAGGCCACACAACAGGAGGTGAGCAGTGGGGGAGTGAGCGAAGCTTCATCTGTATTTACAGCTGCTTCCCATTGCTTGCATCACTACCTGAGCTCTGCTCCCCTACTTCCACCGTGGAAAAATTATCTTGCATGAAACTGATCCCTGGTACCAAAAAGGTTGGGGACTGCTGATGTAGGACATTTAATTATGTGAAACAGAGTAACAATGTCAGATAATAAAGCATTCTGGTATCTAGGTCAAATCTATTAATAAGTGGTTTTAGTCAATGTACTTGCCAAGTACCAGGTACTCAATGAGCTCTCTAAATGAAATAGTGCTTATCTGAATGTAAAACTTTCAGTGTTCTTTTAATATTCTCTCTCTCAGGGTTACCTAGGAAAAATAAATTTCTTTTCAAAAGCCCTTTCCACATTTCTGTGACCTTATCAAGGCTACTTTTTTTTACCTCTTTTTGGTGGCCGTACATGATATGTTAAGTCATTAATGACCAGCTTAAAGTCATCAAGGAGGAGGAGGTCGATCCCTGTTGAGGCAGCAACTCGAACGCCATCTGTGAAAATATTAAATGAAACTTGTCATATGTCCATAATTATTCAAGAATGATCAGGAAAATGCAATCCTCAAAATAGATTTTAAAAATTGCCACTTCCCTTAAATTTCAGCTAACTTTTTGTCTCATCCCCCAGTTCTATGCTAAAAAAAGTTTAGATTGTCTAAAAAGCTCTTTGTTTTTAGCCCTTAAGTCTGTGAAGATTTAACAACATGTTTTTCCAGATGAATTGTATAAACAAGTAAAATAATTAGTGGTCATAGATCTGTATAGGTGTCAGCTGGAAATCTAGGGTCCCTGAGAGAGCTGTATGGACTTCTTACATTTGTCTATGATAGAAGCTGGTTGAGTGAAAAAACAATATTTTCTAACATATAATACTTTTCAATATAGTCACTGATTAGTTGCTAATAGTTCAGTAGGGACAGATGATAGCGTTGGCAAAGTATACCATGCTGGTCTACTAATTATGTTGCTAGATTAACTGGGAATTAAGTACACTTAAACTATTTAGCATGGCAACGTGGCAACTGTTAACAATTGGTAAATCTAGGAGAAGGGTAAATGGGTACTTACTGGACTAATCTTTCAAGTTTTTTTCAAAGTAAAAGGACACTTAAAATATAGATAAATGAAACATGTTATATCAAATGTGAATTTTAGTGCCTTTTTATATTTTTTTCAAATTATATACTCCTTTATTTTGGTAAACTTTTATGTGAAAGACATGAGAAGATCTAAAAAGAAGTCCTAATATTTCATATTGCCAGAGATAAGGGCTCAATTACTGGAAAAATTTATTCTACACCCAAGGTAATGATAGAAGGTCTTAATGATATAAAATGTGACTGGTTGTTCATCCTCGCCCATGGATTGTATATGAGTTGCTTTTGAATGAGATTTCCTACGAATATACATTTGCCAAAAACTGAACAATTATGTTATGAGAACCACTGGGAAAGAAATTACTTTCTCTCCTGGCAGTTGCTAGTTAAAAAAATATTTTCTAAAGTTAACAGTATAGGATTCTTTTGCAGTGACATGTGTGTGTATGTATGTGTTTAGAAATGGTTTGGGGTTGAAATGAGGAGTGGGAGGGAATTAATAATGAAAGTGACTATACCTGGTGAATAGATGGCAACTCTGTCAATTCCCCGATCCTCTTCTTGTAATTGTCGTAAAAACACACCAACAGAGTCAGAGATAGGTTTGAGTGTGAACTGGCAGCGTTCACGCCGGGATGGTAGCCTAACAGATATCACAGGTAACCCATTTTGATAAACCACTGTCACATCTGAAGGAAAAAGATCCACAAACATATAATTAGATTTCATCGTAGGTTAAAGTCACATTATTACTATTCATACACGGGAGTCTACTATTATTATTAGCATGGTTTAAAATGTTTTCAAAGAAAGTCTGAGAAATATCCTTGTGCTTTGGTTGAAGGTTATTCTGGGAACTGGCTTATGTAAGATCAAATGGATCATATAACTTATTTTTCAGATATGATAAAAGAGTTGAGGAATTATCTTCTGAGAGGGTCAGAAGGTTGAGGCTTTCCTAGGAATATGAGGTAAAGTTCTTGGTATTGGTGTCTACAAAACCTGGTTTCATTTAGTAAGATTTTATTAGGTAGCCAGAGATTGCTGGACCAGACCCCAAGCCTATAGTAGGTGGCTCTTGGAATTCAGAGCTTTCAAGAATCTCTGGGGAATGACATTTTCTTAAACTATACTAATAAGTGAGACTCTTATTCCAGGACAGTCAACTCATATATATACAGTACTAATACTATATTATATCCAAGGTGAGAAGTAAGCATTCTATTATACAGCATGGACATATCATGATATAATAAAAATAAATTCCTTTCATTTTCTTTTCTTTTTTTTTGAGACAGAGTATCATTGTGTCACCCAGGCTAAAGTGTAGTGGTGTCATCATAGCTCACTGCAACCTCCAACTCCTGGGCTCAAGCCATCCTCCTGGCTCAGCCTCCCAAGTAGCTGGGACTACAGGCATGCACTACCACACTTGGCTAATTTTTCTATTTTTCGTAGAGATGGGGTCTTGCTCTTGCTCAAGCTGGTCCTTTCATTTGCTCTTGAACATCTTCCTGAGCTTAGCTAGAAGCCAAAGCTCAATTAAGATTTTATAACAAAATGTTATGAAGGGAAACATTATAATAAACAATACAATTAAAGGGATCTTTTAAGACGGTATGGCACAGAGTTCTGAATTTCCTTACCTTTTTCCTTTCGATTTACAGAGCTTTAGTCAGTAAAATAAATGTCAGTATAACCCTCTTTCAGAATAATTTTCAAATGAATTTGGTAGATAAATACATCTTTAAATCAAAATTTTTTACATAAGCAACTAAGCATTTAAAGATGATGTTGGCACTGAGGAAAGACAAAAGGCTTTGGAGTCAAATTTGGGACTGAATCCTGGCTTTGTAACTTTGGACATATGCAACTTCTCTGAGCCTCACTTTTTTCATTATAAAATGGGTTTAATCCTGAACTCACACAGCTCTTATGAGGCATAAATGAAAGACACAATTTAAAACACTGAGCATACTGCCTGATACATAAGTGATAATGTTTCTTTATTAGTGTCTTTTAAGAGTCAAAGGTACATTCTATTATGCTTCTAAGGATTCCTATCCCTTCTAATTAAACAGTTTAGAAGAAATATGTGAGACTAATGTTTTGGAGATTTCACATGCATCAAACTTTCCATAGTTGTAGTCATTTACATCTTATTTCCTTGACTGTTCCAGTAATTTGTAAGGCCTACAGTGTATACAAAAGCTTCACACTAAAATCTGTCATGATTTGAAAAAACCAAAATACTAATTGAGGCATAGTTTATTATTTGAAATGGAAGTTTGATGATTTTTGACACAAGATAAAGAACATTTCTATGATTCCCCCAAATTCCCTGAGCCCCATCCCAGTTAATCCCTGGTTAACCACTGATCTGATTTTTATTACCATAGATTATATTTGAATTTAATGCACAGCATGCATGATCTAAAGCTTGCAATAATCTAAAGATATGTGAAAAACCGGTCCTTAAATTTTCCTTGTCATTTCTAAAAGAATCCTTAGCAATCAATCCACTGTTTCCTTGAAGTCAGAGCCACTAACATGAATATTTCTATCTCTTTCTATAGGGAATAATGATGATGGTATCATAAAATTAGGTGATTAATTTATTCACTTGGTATTTTTATTCCCCATTATACCTTTTCTATATGTGAAAATGAGTATCTAACCACAGATCTCAAGAAGTACATAGAGTTGAATTTAAATAAATGATAGGAATCTGAGTCTGAAACACATGACATTTGAATGATTTCACTAAAACATCAGTTTCACAGGTAAGTGCCTGGGGGTGACTGTTTTAAAATAGCTGAGACAAAGTCAACAGAGAAAATGAAGGTCTTTCATGCCTAGTTTAACTTTTTCCTTTAGAGAGCATGATGCCTTTCAAGGGAATGAAATATGAAAGCTTTGAGAAACTCTACACGAAATAACATATTTCTGAGCTAACAAACTTTTATTATAATACTGCTTTTGAAATAAATACCTAGGTCTCCTTTCCCACATACTAGATTGTAATGTAAATGTTAGATTTCTTGGGTTGCAGCTCAAGTTGAATAATTACCAAAGTTCCTCTCTTAAGTTTAATAATATAAACAATAAAAGGCTTTATGTAGTGAAGTCAGATGGGCATTTAAAAGCTAATGACAGTTGTCAGCTACTATTCTCTAGAGACAAAATATTCTTTTAAAGTATAAACTGCATCAAGTGGCTCTTTGGATTTTTTTGCTCTTTTGCTTTGATTTCCGTATCAATAAAATTAGAAATAATCTAAGTATGTTCCATAGCAGTATTCCTCAAAGAAACCTAGAAATTATGGGACACTCAATTCAAACACTCAGAGCCAAAACATGACAACAGATTAAGGCATAAAAACAAAATGCCATGGAATTGTGCAGACTAAGAAAAGTAGTGCAGGAACTATAAACATTTGTTGTTGAAAAAGGAACAAATTTCTAAAAAAGCCTTTGAGGCATTAGGAGCTGAAAGACAGTCATAAAATACAAATGCTTGTTATTTGGTCAAATGTTTAAAAAATGCTTACAAAAATACATACAGCAGGTTGGTTGGTGTTCAAAATAATGGGTAAAAGCTCCACTAAAATATATCGCCTTATAAACATGACTGTCTATATCTTGAGGACTTAATATGAAAGGGAACTGGTGAAATAAGGAAGCACATGTGGGGTGTTTTCTGCAAAGCTGCTTGGAGCTGAACTTCATATGACAGATTCTTTCAGTGGCTTATAATTTTGCTATTGTCTGTTTCTTTCCACCCTCCTTTCTGTATCACAAATGTGAGATACAGTCATAGAATTTTAGTGTTGGAAGCCAAGAGAGATCATACAAACACCCCCCCCCTCCCTTTATTTTTACAGCTAAGAATAATAAAGTCCAGTAAGGTTAAATATTTGTAAGGTCATCCAGTTCAACCCAGTGCAATTTGGATCACATCATTTGTTTAAGAAATCATTTTCTTCTAGGTCAGAAAATTACCTGTTATCCCTGACTATTCCTTCTCTCTCCTTCCTTCCTTCTCTCTCCTTCCTTCCTTCCTTCTCTCTCCTTCCTTCCTTCCTTCTCTCTCCTTCCTTCCTTCCTTCTTTTCTTCCTTCCTTCCTTTTCTTCCTTCCTTCCTTCTCTCTCCTTCCTTCCTTCCTTCTCTCTCCTTCCTTCCTTCCTTCCTTCCTTCCTTCCTTCCTTCCTTCCTTCCTTCCTTCCTTCCTTCTTCCCCTCCCCCCTCCCGCTCCCTCCCTCGCCCGGTGCCTCTCTTCTCTCCTCTTCTTTCTTTTTTGAGACAGAGTCTCACTCTGCTGCCCCAGCTAGAGTGCAGTGGCGTCATCATAGCTCACTGCAACCTCCAACTCCTGGGCTTAAGCAATCCTTCTGCCTCAGCCCCTCCCAGGAGCTGGGATTACAGGCACATAACACCATGCCCAGCTGATTTTTTCTACTTTTAGTAGAGATGGGGGTCTCACTCTTGCTCAGGCTGGTCTTGAACTCCTGACCTCAAGTGATCCTCCTGCCCTGGCCTCCCAGAGTGCTAGGATTACAAGCATGAGCCACCATGCCGAGCCCTGACTGTTCTTAGAGTGAGAACCTAATATTCCTCATATCTAATCAGTCATCATGTCTTTTCATTCTATTTTTAAAACATCAGTAATCCTTCCAATTCTCTCTCTACCACCATCTTATTCCAGGCCACCAGCACCTCCTTCATGTATCAGCTACATTGTAATTGGAGTCCTACTTTATTATAGCCTTACTTCAGTTTAATTTTTCACACCAAAGAAAGGGTGATCTTTCTTTCTCCTAAGGAAACCATATCCTAAAGTTAGTAGTTGATATTTATCATTCCCATCCATGATATATACATACATACAAGCAGGCAGGCAGGCAAGACACACATATGTGCATACACATATATCTCAACACACAATATATAGTATTGTGATAACCAGCCTTCAAGATGGCTATGATCCTTACCTATAGGTATTTGCTTGGTTTGATTGTCCCTCCTAAAAATCATGAAATTTAATTGCCATTATAACAGTGTTGAGAGGTAGGAGATAATCAGATCATGAGAATTCTACCCTCCCAATGGATTTTTGCTGTTATTACAGAAATAGGTTAGTTATCATGGGAGTGGGTTCTTGATAAAAAGGATGAGTTCAGCTTGATTTCCCTCTCTGTCTCCTGGGAATACTTCCTCACCATGTGATGCCTTCTGACATGTAACGACACAGCAAGAAGGCCCTCACCAGATGTGACTTCTCAATCTTGGATTTCCCAGTCCTCAGAACTGTGGCTCAAATAAATCTTTTCTCTTTATAAATCACCAGTCTATGGTATTTTGTTATAGTAGCAGAAAATGGATAAAGACAGTTCAGATGCTTCCCAACTTCCGATGGTGTTACATCTTGATAAATTCATTGTAAGTCACAAATGCATTTAATACCCTGATAAACCCATCATAAAGTTGAAAAAATCGTAAGTCGAACCATCTTAAGTCAGGGATTGTCTATACTCATGCTCTTATGTAGTCCCATCCTACATCAAATCAGGGCTGGTCTGTATAACCAGTAGAATACAGCAGAAGTGATGGTGTATATCTTCCAAGGCTATGCCATAAAAGACTTTGTAGCTTCTTCCTTGTTCTCTTGGGTCACTTGCTCTGGGAGAAA